ACAGAAAACCTGGTGTCCGCTTGTCAACGTCGAACCGTGCAAGCTCGCTGCGTTCCGCGAACAATGAATCACGAGTGCTCTGATATTCGCGTGGACTGGCTCCAGCCTTCGTGGACTCTGGGCATGGCGCGCCCATGGGTTGGCGCGCTCTGAGACTCGACCCCCTTCAAACACTGGCGCGCCAAACTTGGTCGGCCCAAGCGAGGCCGGAAACGCAGCAAAAATAGCAACTTGCACTCGCGCATCCGCGCAAGTCTCTGTAACCACTTAATTCGCCCACATAATGCGCCGAGTTCTCAGTCCCAAAAACAACCGTGCAAACCTGAACTTTCTCATGATCTCCTCGTGGCTGATCGCGCGCAGTTGTCCACCTCCTTCCTCCCGCCGCGCTGCGCCGCGCGCAGTGTCGCTCGACATTTCACCGTCGCGACACTCCGGAGCTACCGAAGACCTGCCTATCTATAGGGGCCGGAACCACGCGCCGCAACTTCGAGCCCTGACAGGGCCGCGCCGATGAGGAGGCGCGCAACCATCGCGCGCGAGACCGAGAACGGGCAGTTGCTAAACCGGAACCTTCCCGCGGAGAGGCACTGACAGCCTGCGGCCTTCTCTGGGGCTCGGGGCCAGGGGTGGACGCGGCCGACTGGAGGTCTCCGCCTCCGACTGCGGTGCTTAGTCTGTCCTGCGATGACTGGGATTCCCCCGCCGCGCAATCTGCGCTGGAGTTCATGGGCCCCGCGGCCGCGAAAATGCCACGCGCCCCCCCGCTTGCGGCCCCGCCCCCCGCCGCCCCCAGTCCCTCGTCGATCGCTTTGTTCTCGCCCTCGCCCCCCCTGCTAATGCGCTCCTCCATGGCCCCCCACCCATTACCTTGTTCGCTGAATCGCCTGCGTGGCCCGCGAAGGCAAACTGCTCTGGATAATCTGGCTGCCCGGGCCGCGCTGCTCCGACGCGCGGGAACCGGCCTCGAGCGGCCAGACAACCGCCCGGCCACCTTGTCCACGACCGGGGCCGAATAGTCTTCGCAGAACAATTTGGCGGCCCCCGCGCTGCCTGGGAAAAGACCAGGTCGCGCCTGCTGCCAAGAAGTTCCACTCTCGCCCCCGCGCAGGAACGCGTCGCGCAGGATCATATCTTTGCTGGTCTGCCTATCTACGCGTGAGTAGCACGCGCGTGCGTTCCCTAACAAGACGTCGCGCTGCACTGCGCAGTGCGCATTCGCGGCGTCGCGGCGCCCCAACGTGCGCGCGCTCGTCCCAGACAGCGCGTGACCATGATAAACTGCTCTCCGTCGCAATCGAGCTTGTGCAAATTATGCGGTAAACGCGCCGCCTGCGCGCTGCGCCGCATGCGAGGAGACCGTCGGCGTCTCCGACGCAAGACGAGCAGCGCCTTTATGGCGTCTCTCGCGTGATCAGTATTAACAAACTCCTGATCGCAACCGATCCTCTCCCCTCTCTTAGGCCTCTTGTCGTTGACCCACTCCGGATGGGGTGCAAGCCCGGATCCGAAGAGCTCGGGCGAGAGCGACCAGGCTGGTCGCGCGCGCCACATCTGGGCCCCCACATGGCCTTGGTTAAATGCGCCCAATCTTCTGCCGCGAGAAGCACAGCCTCCGACACCGCCACCATCTCCGCCCCCTCCGCATCGATCTTCTGATTCACCTCGGCCGGATGCGTCGGCGCAGCCCTGCGTCCGCCCGAGGGCGGGTCAGTGCCGACGTTGAACTGTTGGCGATCGCTGCAAAATCGTCGCCAGCGAGGCCCTCGCCTTCTGCATGACAATAATCTAGCCAATTCTCGCACGAAATAAATGTCATGGTCCTTACCGGCTAGTCGTAATTATTGCGCTCTTCTTTGAATGGCATGTCGGTTCACTACTTCTGGCTGGCTGTGCGGATTAGCTGCGTTTTTCTTTCATCTGTTGCGCGACCTGGTCGATGTCCTCCAGCTCCCCCATCCGCTCCCTCATGCCCCCGTATCCTCCAGCACTCGGGTTCTTTATTTGGCGTGCTGCTCGTGGTTTTCTGTGCACAGCGGTGATGCATCTAGCTGTGAAACAGCTGTTTGATTACGTTTTCTGACCGATAGCTCATTCATCGCATCTAGGACCCCCTGCTCCGCTGCCGAACCGAACTCCTCCTGAACGTTCAAAGCCTCTTTTCTCTGTTTGGCTAAGTATACCATTCCACTTGTATCCCGCCTGAACACACTGGTCCATCGCTTGTCGATTCAGCCTCGAAGGTCGTCGGGGCAGCGGTTCGATGCCCAGCTGCGCAACACAAAAAACAAGCACGGGTCTGTGGCCTCGAGGTTCCCGTGTCCTCATCAGCTGCAGTCCCCGCGCCACCGACGAAAAAAACTGGATCTGTTCAACTGTCTGCAACATCTCGCACGGGATGCTGATATGGTCAATTACGACGACCCTTCTTCTTTAACGTGTGCCGGCGGCCCTGCAGCATGTGAAGAAACACTCGCGAGCCCCCATCCAGCCAAACATGGTCTGAGCCTCGAAGATGCGGGTGTGACAAGCGTCGTGCCGTGAATGCCCGCAACGCGATCCTGTGGACTATGTGGCAGCGCGCCGTTCAAATCCATCATCACGATTGGGGCAGCCCCTCTCTCCCCCTGACAACAACCACCACCTCCGATGTCTATTATGTCTATTTCAGTAAATGCTCCACCGTTCTCTCGTAGTGCGGTTTGCCACTCGACGCCGTCTCTCGAGGAGGGGAATCAAGCTGCGGTGGTGCCGCATCGGAGCCCCAAAGGCTCGGTCACGCTTGCGAGGCCGCGCCTTCGAATACTCGTGGGTACGCCCAAATGTTCTTGACACATGTGATGGGGAACCTCGCGCGCCTGAGCAGTAATGTAACTCCACAGTTGTTGCCAGTAAGCTGACCATATGAGCACCCTGCCCCCCCGCACACAGGAATGCATGCCAACCGCCCTCGTGCTCTCCATGGCCTCGCCTCTGCTCTTGAACTGGGTGCCCAGGAGAGCGATGATGTTTTTCCGCCCGAGCTCATGCACGATGTCGGGCAATCTGCTGTGTGTTGGCGCACTGCGGGTTAAACCATGTCAAATATCAGTAGGCCGCTGGCATCGCGGCGCTACCGTCGCCAGGCCTGCGAGCTGCACGGGGAGAAGCCCCGCGGACGGGTGTGCGGGGTTGGCCGCTTCATGGGCCATGGGTGGCGCGCGCGTTTGCGCCGTGACTGGGCCACCTGGAGGAGGAGGAGGAGGAGGAGGAGGAGGAGGAGGAGGAGGAGGAGGAGGAGGAAGAGGAGGAGGAGGATGCCCTCCCCTCCTACTTCTGGTGGTGGCGGTGGAAAACAAGCCCACCATCCGAAGCTCCGAACCGGAGCGTTCAGTCTTTGACAGTTTTTGTTCGGCCTCCCGGGGGCCCTGGCTGGGCCCCAGGAGGCCGTCAATAAACCCGCACGACGAGAAACAGCTGGAAGCGCAGGACGTCCGGGTCCCGCATACATCGACACAAGTTGGACCTCCGAGGGTACACACTAGGGTAGGAAGGCACCAACTATACACCAACACCGATCCTGGCCCAGGATCACCCTGGGCCCAGGATCGGTGTATACGCCCTCCTGCCTTGCGCAAGTAGGCATATACACCGATCCTGGGCCCAGGGTGATCCTGGGCCAGAATCGGTGTTGGTGTATAGTTGGTGCCCTCCGATAGGGGGCGCGCAAACATGGACTGCGATCCATGGATTTGGCGCGCGGTCGCCAAACCCATGGATCGGGGGGAGGTCTCCAAAGTGCGGCCTCTGCCGCCTCGACCGGCGGCGAAAATTCTTTGATTTCCCATGGAAGCGGGACCCGTCGCTGATCCACGCCCCCTTGACCCATGTCTGCGATCGCCTGACGCACTTGGATCAAAACTAGAGCGCCGGATGCCTGGGTTCCCCCGCTGGAGTCCGGATCCTCGCCTCTCTCCTGCACCCCCCTCTGCCACCCCCGCGGTCATGTTGCGGCTCACGCCCCCCCAAGCACTCCACAGGGGAACGTAATCATGAAAAGAATCCGAGCACCCATGCTGCAAGCTCCCGGGGACGTGGCGCTCTCCTCGAGATCCCGAGGCCTTGTCCAGCCGTGGCGACGAGGGCCCAGCCCAGGAGGCCCCAGAAGGAGAGGGGCAAACGAACAACACCCGCGTCTGCATGATTGGACCCCTCCGGGTCTCCTCCATGGCCAGGCTTCCGAGCCGCGCCCAGCCACAGCGACAAGAAGGCTCCAGAGACGCTCAAACGACATCCGAACCCCGATTTTCGCCGCTGCATCGCGAAGGATCAAGACTGGAACCCGAGACCCTATCTTTCTGCTGCACTTTTCGAGCCGGGTCGATCTGCGAGGGAGCTGGGGCCCGAAGCTGGCCGAAGATCCCCCAGGCGAAGACTCCTCGATCCGCTGGCAAGCTTTCCGCGCTGCATCCAGCCGCGGCGACGCGAACCCCGGGACAGGCCCAAGGCCTCTGAAAGAGAAACGCCACCGTCGCCAGGCCGGGACCAAGCAGCATCGGATCGAAACGTCGGCTCGAATCGGAATGCGCATTGGATCGGGGCGCATCGGCGCGGAATCGGAATCGGATCGGATCGGCCGCGAGAAAGTCGCACGGCAGCGCCATGCAAGCGTCGGGCCGCATCGGATCGTCGCAAAATGGGAATCACGCTTGGATCGGGCGGGCCAGAAGCAACACAAGATCGGATCGACCAGATCGCAACGGACTCTGTCAGGTAGGCTTGTGTTCCTCGTCTGGTCGCTTATGCTGCTCCCATCGTGCTCAAAGACCACATCCCAGAAATAAATTCCAGCACTGGGAAAATTGTCGAACGAGTGTCGAAACAGTGTCTGACGAGTGTCTCCCAGGGACCGACACGTGAAAACAATCGAGTTTCGGTACTTCCCTGGTAATCGACATTGTTTCTGGTGATCAAGGCGAAAGTAGGTTGGAACATCGCAACTGGTCGCCCATCCAGGCACGTCATGCAGACGAGGAGGCAACGGCCGCGTCCTGCGGGTGCGCCGGAGACGAGGGGGCTTTGCTGTGTTCTTGCTCGTTAACATTTGTCACGTGTGCGGAGCTACACTTTCAATGCCGCGCTCACCTGTGGCTTTGCTGCATTCTTGCTCGCATGAGAGATCCACCCACTAGAAGGCTTCGGTCAGGCGTGTCCCCCTACAGGCGGATTTTGGAGGACAAATGAACTACAATCAAAATTCACTCAAATTTTCAACCATCGTATAAACATCGTCCCGAGACTATTTCTTTGGCTGCTTTTGAACATTCCTCCTGTGGAGGGACACGCCCGACATAACACATAACACTAAAAGGCACGTCATGCAGACGAGGAGGCAACGGCCGCGTCCTGCGGGTGCGGCGGAGACGAGGGGGCTTTGCTGTGTTCTTGCCCGTTAGCATGTGTCACGTGTGCGGAGCTACACTCTCAATGCCGCGCTCACCTGTGGCTTTGCTGCTTTCTTGCTCGCAACGCACACCGCCAGAGGCGGCGGAGAGCTTGAGAGATCCGCCCACTAAAAGGCTTCGGTCGGGAGTGTCCCCTTACAGGCGGATTATGGAAGAAAAATAAAACAATACTCAAAACATACTCCCAAATATATTTCCCAAACAGTGAAAACATCGTCCCACGACTATTTTTGTCGCCTGCTTTTGAATTTCCCTCCTGTAGAGGGACACGCCCGACCTAACACTAAAAGGCGCGTCATGCAGACGATTTGGACGTCCGACATGGGTACCGAAGAAATGGGTACGATGCCCAACAACGAATGTTATCCCAAACCAGCAGCGGCCGCTATTGGGCAGGCAGCCTTCTGTCTCAAATGTACACAGGCCGCGGCGACACCGACAGTGAGTCCCGTTCAGAATGAACAAGAATTGCTGTTGGGCATTGTACCCATTCTTTCCGTACCCATCTCGTTCGTGCAGAGACGAGGAGGCAACGGCTGCGTCCTGCGGGTGCGCCGGAGACGCGGGGGGGGGGGGCCATAATGGGGATGGACAGACCCCCCTTTAGTAAAGCGTGGTTTTGAAAAAAAAAAAAACAACCTGAGGCCCAAACCTGGCGGGTGCAAGCCTGGAAAATGACGGCCGCGGCGCCCTCTCGAGAACCGAAAACGGACAACTCACCAATCGACGTGTCGCTGTTGGGGGTTCTGTCCGCCCCCGACCGCGAGAGGCCGTGGGGTGCGGTGCGCGCCACGGCCCGAGGCGGGGGCGCAGGCGAGGTGGGGGCCAGCGGACGTGCTGAGCTCTCCGGGGCCCTGGGAGTGACGGGGCGCTTCTCGTGGCGTGTCTGGCGGTGCTGCTTTGCATGCTCTGGCGCCGCGTCTCTTGATAGAGGCCCTGGCCATCGCTCGGACGTCAAGTCCGTGTGCACTTTTCAGCTTCGTGCGTGTTTTTTTCGCCAAATGACCAAGGATGCCCCTCGATGGTCCTCGCCGAAGGAAAAATGCACACGTCCGAGCGATGCCAAGGGTCAAACAATCCACCCCCATAATAACCACCCCGGCACGCGAAGTCGTTCAGCAGACGCGCCCAAAGAAAGAATCAAACAGGGCGGGGCTGTTTAGTAAACGCCAAGGGCCGTGTAATTAGTAAACGCCGATTGTCCCGTCTGGGTGGTGTTTCCTCCCTTGACTTGAACGCTGCGTGTTTTCGTTTGCGTTTCCCCCGGTGGCGGCCAGCGGATGTGCTGAGCCTCAGGGCCCTGGAAGCGACAGGGCGTTTCTCGTGAAGTGTCCTGCGCGCTTTGTTTCGTTGTCGTTTTGACTACCTACCAGGCCACCCCAACGCAACCCGAAGACTCGAATTTGAGCTGAATTTCGGGTTGGGGGGGTACGGGTTACATGTGTTTTTTCAATGTTCCCCGACCTCCCCCCCACTGGAAATGGAGGCAAATTGAGGCCTTCGGGTTGGGTTGGGGTGGTTTGGTGGGTGGTGATGTTTGTATTATGTCGGGCGTGTCCCCCTACAGGGGGATTTTCGACGAAAAATTACAAATACCCTAAACATGCGCCAAAAAGGTTAAAACAAATACTCAAAAGATAAACACCAGACTATTTTTGGAGTATTTTTTTACTATTTCTGGGGTATTTTTTATTTTTCGTCGAAAATCCCCCTGTAGGGGGACAGGCCCGACATAATGTCTGTATTCTCTGGCGCCGTTTCTCTCGACGTGTCTGGCGCGCCGTGTGTTTTCGTCTTCGTTTCCCCTGGTGGGGGCCTGGTCCAAACGACATGTTCCCCATCGGGTCCGGACCGTTTTCGAACCAGTTTCGGGGATCTTCTGACCCGGGTCTATCCAGACCCGGGTCAGCAGGAAACCAAAAACTGCAATGCAGGAAAAAAAACTGCAACGCAGGTCTTCGCAAACCCGGGTTAGCCAATACGAGCGGCCGCCTCGCGGCCACGAGCGGCTCGCTAACCCGGGTCAGCCAGAGGGGGTCTTCGCAGGATCCTGCAGGATCCGGTGCCCTGGCTGACCCCCGTTTGCATAGACCCCCGTCTCAAGGCTCCCGACAATTGCGAACGTCCTTCCGATCCCACGACAGCCCAGGCCGTTTCGGTGAACCGTTTGTCACCGTTCCGGTGCACGGATGTTTCCGTTGCTGCATTTACTCTCCAGGAGCTTTCCTGGAACACTGTATAGAAAAGTGCCCTGCAGTTTCTGGGGCCCACTACAGTGGAGGCCAGTCCACAAGAAACCTTCGCGCTTTCCACAGCGAAACCATCGAAACCCAAGAAACCCAGGGCACCCTGTAGGCGAGCAGAGTGTTTCTGGGCATGGGTCTCCACTGTAAGGTGCTGAGAGAGGAGGGGGGGCATGACATCTGGGAGATCTTATGGCCGTGGCCATGATATCCCCCGCCCCCCTTGGTCGCCTTGGACCGGGGCGTCTAGGGGCCGTTCTGGACGATGTGGGCTGGAAGCTCTCCAGAAGGCGCAGCTGCAAGAGAACGCATTTCGAGGCAGGAAAACTTCCGAGAAACGACGCAGCTTCTTCCCCCCCTTCCCCTGCGGAGGTTTCGTCTTGGCTGCTCAAGCTGGGGACCTTCCTTAAGCCAGTCTCTCCAGTCCGGCGTCGAAGCTGCGTTGAACGTCCGTCGATTCGAATCGACCTCGAGTCGAACCTGAGTCGAAGCCGAGATCCATGGAGATCGAGCCCCGTGGGACGCAAAAAGAAATGCACCCCCCTGGAAAAACAATGCAACGTTTGCAAATCGTGTCGAAGAACTGTCCGGAGGACTTCCCTGGGTGTGAATTGTTCATCCTGGGTCCGTTTCTGACGGTCACGGGGCCCGAAAACGGCCCCCCAGAGGCCAAACACGCCGAAATTCCGAAGGCGACGACATCAAACAAATCGACGCTTGAAGTTGCATGACTTTTCCAGGGCAACGTAGCATGCGTCCGCCCCCTGGAAGCCTGCGCCCGACCAGAGTATGCAGCACAGTGGTATTAGAACATATCGCTGCCTGTCGGCAGGGAGAAGTGGATCGAGACATGCAGCAGGGCGCTGGAACTGGATTGGGCCTCCGCCCGCCCCCTGAAGAGGAGGGAGGAGGGACAGCCGCTCGACTCGTCAAGCAGGGAGGCACCTGCTGCAGATCAGGATCTGGGAATCCAAGCATACCCACTTCGGCGGTGGACAAACCTCCCTTTAGTAAACCTCCCCTTAGTGAAAACGGCCTGGGACCGAAACCGACGGACCTGGACCCGCAAAAATAACGGCCGCGACGCCCTCTCGCGAACCGAAAACGGCCAATTCACTAATCGACGTGTCAGGGTAGGAGGTCTATCAACCCCCGACCACTGTCAACGACGGGCGTGAACCCAAGTGGCATGGCCAGGCAGCGCCCGCCACCGAGCCGACACGGAGCCTGCACTGCAAGACCTCTGCACGATGCGCACCCCCTCCTACGGGGCCCGACGCGCAGCTCGAGTCTGGAGATGTGGAGAGGCTCTGCCGACCCTCGGCGGTCTCGCCGTGGAGAAAGCACCGCCTCGCACGAGACGGGGGGTGGGACCCAGGTTGGCTTTCGTCGTCGCCGAAGGGAGGAGGAGGAGGAGGCGGAGGCGGAGGAGGAGGCGGAGGCGGAGGCGGAGGAGGAGGAGGAGGAGGAGGAGGGTGCTCGGCGAATCCGTCGGCTCTCAGGAGGTCTTCTCGCCTCGAGCTGCTGTCCAGCAGCTGCGCCTCCTCGATAGCTTTTTTTCCGGGGCCGGGCGGATCTACTCATGCAGCTGGTCTTCATGGAAATTGTCCGAACCCGGAGATCCGACGCTGCGAAACGAATCTAACCTCACGAGCAGTCACGGCCGAAGCCAAATCGAGGAATCGGGAAAAATGCGGGGTCGATCTGCGAGGGTCCCAGCGACCGAAACCGGGCGAATGTCCCTGATGCGGTGGCTCGTGGATAGATCCCTGCCTAGATCTTGTCGGCGTGGATACAGTCGGGCTCCACATCGAGCCGCATCGCCGATGCACCAGCGATGCGGCGGAATCCTCCGACCCCATCCCCAGACATCTGGCGCTCCAAGTTTTTCGATGCGTGGACCTCCGGAGGTCTGAACAGCTTCCACGGGTCCAGTTCTTCATCCTTACTCGTCTCCTGATGGTCCCAAGGCGCCGAAATGGCCCAAAACTGGCCGCTCCGATTTTTTGTTCGAAGCCTCGGATCTCTGCCTCTGTGGCGGTCAACCTTGAACGCCCGCGGCGGGGTCGCTGCGCTCACGAGCCTCTCGAGCCGAGCCGAGTCGAGGCTGATCTGCTCCTTCTCGTCTGCCTCCTCCATCCCTTCACATCGCCTTCCTCCGTCCTCCCCCTCCCCCTCCTCCTCCTCCTCCTCCTCCTCCTCCTCCTCCTCCTCCTCCTCTTTCCTCCTCCTCCCCCCCTTCCCCTTGCTTCTCG